GTGGATTTTCTAAAAATGTACTTCTTTCAGGAATAACTCTTACTCAGTGTTTCACACTTGTATATAATTTTCAAGTATCTGGGACGAAGCAAAGGTAGACATATTACCCCTTGATTTAGCCTTCACATATTCGCTGTTTCATCTGATTCTTCACATTAACTATTTCAGTTCCTGAAGAGCATGTCTGCAGAAATGAGAATAAGATTTTTGAATTCTTTCGTATACATTAAAGTCGTGATCTTATGCGTATATTTCTACTGGAAATGAATGGATCGGAAACCAGAAAAGGTAATATGATTGACCAAAAAAGTTTGATTAATGTTGGTTTGACTTGTAGTGGATTCATAAAACGTCGCAGAGGTAAAGATCCGGGAAAAAAGCCTAACATCAAAATTAAGCTTGTTCATGCTCCCACCCAAAGACCAGGATATTCCCGCCAAGGTGAATATAATTGGAAGTAATCCGCAGGTGAAAATTAACTTGTTTCTCATTGCGAATTTTTTCCCTTAACTGTGAAGCTCTCTGAACAAACTCGGTGATAGAAGTCGAGCCCTTGATGTCTGCTGCATACCAGAGGACCTTCCTGCCAGCTCTTATCCCTGTTGTTAACTATTCCTAAAAAGCTGTTCTTAAACACAAAAATACGATAAGAATATCTGCATCACATTTACTGCCGTTTTTGAATCTCAATCGTTCAACAAAAAAACTCAGAATTCTACACAACTTGAATGTTATAACTATTTCATCACCAGGTTCATTTTCCAGAAATCCATTTAGATTCTTGTTTGAGATGCCTTATCAAAGACACAACTCTCGGGCAAAAACCAGTCGACATTTTTGTATTTTGCCAAAGTGATATTGGGTTATTGGATAAGGGGGTGATTACCGCCTTTTAATGAGATTACAGATAAAAGCCTAGTCATTTTGTTTTCCTCATCATAAAGGAGTTACTACACGCGATTTGTACTTTCAAGCGCATTCTCATAATTGCATGTTTGAGAAGCAAAATCATTTGTCACTCAGAAACCACCACAAGCGTTTCGTAAAGTTTTTCTTGTTTAAGTGTCTTCATTATTTACTCTTTTTATAAATCTATTTAAATCTTATTTTTCAATTTTTATGTATTCGTATGCATTCATACATTTGTTTTTTTTTTTGTGAAACACTTTCAAGCTTTTGAGGTTTGAGCTATTGATAATGCCTCATGGGTTCTTACAAATAGATAGCCAAATCAAATGATTCTCAAGCAATCTTCCTTGGAGCTAAATAACTGCATTAGCGTAGGTAATTAAAGAAAATTTCGGTAACACTCTTTCGAAGTTGTTTACATGTACTACATATCGACACAGGAGGGATTCAATAAAGCAGATCCTAAAGACGCGAAACCGCCAAGACCCAGAAATATCGGTTATAGGCTAAGTCAAGGTATCGTCAACGAGT